CTGACAATTATCAGCTGTCTTCAGAGTCAGACATCAGTGAGGCAGAAGAACAGCTGGAGACTGTTCCCAGTGTGCGCATGCGCAGAGTTGCCAGACGAAGGGAACAGCTAAAGAACAGGGGTCGACTTGTTAGGAAGGCCACAGGTGGGGGATGAATGACCGCTCCCATAGGGAATAAAAGAGGAGCAACAGGGAAGTGGAGTTTGCAGGAGACTATTAGTTCATTCCTGCATTCTTGCCAAGTATTGCAGGGCGTCTGAAAGATACCAGCCTGGCCACTCCCCACACCTGAGAAAGGTCGGTAATTGTGAACTATCTTGAAAAACTGTGGGAGAGGAAAGACTTTGCTGGAGAGGAATTCACTGTCAATTAAATCAAAGTTTAATGGGACGAGGACTCGGCTTCATGCGTGCTGGGGAAGCCTAGGTCAGAACAGTCGAAGCCGCAAGACTAGGATTGCAGATTTGCCAACCGGGCCTGCAAAATCTTCACCGATCTGGGTTGAGTAGTAATTCAGAGCCGGCTCTCAGAGAAAACAACCTTGGCATCTGCAATGTAACCAGGTCACCCATAAATTATGCAGTGACAGGAATGTGCCAGGACAGGCGTGAACACACTTCGGCAATCTGCTTCCTCTCCGTGAGTTGCCGGCCAGGTCACTTGAAAGAGCCGCGGAGTCTCTCGCTGGGGGATCGTCAGATCTCGATGGCTCAGCGAGTTTCCTCCGAGCCTCAGCCAGGCTGATAGGGAAAAGATGGCGGTCTCAAAAGTTGTGACCCAGGATCCCTGAGACAGTGAAAATCACACACTTACTCCCCCAAACCCTCTTTTTATTTAAAAAGTCTGTTAATTATGGCCATTCACAACAGGGTCTGTGAAGAGTCCGACAGTAGTCTGCCAAAGTCTTTCGGGATAGGGCTGATAAGCACCCATCTTTATCTCCCTTGAAATGCTGCCAGAGATCTGATTACCACTTAGCTTTGCAAGGCCAAACGGAGCACAGAGTCAAAACGGAGCTTCAGAGTTTGAACCGACCACAACGAACACAATTACTTCCTGGAAAGGCTCACGTCCGTTTGCTTCTCTTTTATGGGAGGGGGCCAATCAATCTCCGAGCCTTTACTCCTGAGTCGCCCCTTTTGTCTTCACAGTTCTTGTCTCCTGGCAGCTCTGCGCATCCCAAACTGGGAACAGGCTCACGCTGTTCTTCTGCCTCGCTGATGTCAGACTCCGGAGGCTCTGGAGGCAGCACATCACTACCAGATGTCCCTGGCCCCCTCTCTGCCTCCGATGCAGAGCCTTCCCCAGACTCCAGGAGTGGCCCATGTTCCTTCCCAGTCTCCTCAATGCCTGACTCTGCTGCCAGCTCCTCAGGCCACCCGCGGACCACAACAGAAGGAGCCAACAGTCTGCCGTAGCTGCTTCATTCAATCAAGTTAAGGGGTGAGGTTTTTTTCCCCCTGAATCGGGTCCCACGGTTCATAAGACCGCCTCTCTTGGTGCCTTAATAGAGGTGGCTGCAATTTTCAGTGGTAGGAGTTGGAAGTACGTTGCCCTGGCTGTTGCTTTCTTGGAGCTTTCCCCATGGACAGCTTTATCGGGGGTCTCCCACCAGTGGTGGGTTTCAAAAATTGTTGGAACCTACTATGTGGGTGTGGCCTCCTTTGTGGGAGTGGCTTGCCGCCCATGTGACCGGATGGGAGTGGCTTGCCACCCATGTGACCGGATATGTAATTATGAATTAGTACTTAGGTC